GGGTGCGTCTTATATTCCGAAAAATACTGTAACAATGATAAAATATATGTCATTTAAGGAAAATATGTAACAGCAATAAAATATACATTGCTTGAGGAAAAGACAAACAGCAATAAAATAATGTCATTTAAGGAAAAGATGTAACAGCCAGAAAATATACATCTTACGAGAAAAAGATGCAATAGTAGTTAAAAGATAAACGAACACTGATAATTTCTACAGAAATATCATTCATTATGTCTAGAAGAAAAGATTTTAGCAAAGAAAATGGCAACTAGTTAATATTTTGGACCATATCTGTTTTTTTGTAAAGGTTTGTATGGCAATATAATCAACTTTCAGTGAACATATATTACTTATAAGTCGGTATAATTTAGCTAGACTTTAACACTGCACCTAGAGAAGATTAAAGAATAAAACAGTTTTTACCTTGAGTCCCTTGGCTCTATTAATGGCTCTTAGTGGTCTTAACACTCTCAGGACACGAAGAATTTTGACAACAGATATAGCTTCATTGCTGAAAAATGGCAATTGTAAAAGTTATGTTCTAGATTCAAATATAATATTTATAATACGTGCGTGATGTTTCAATATAGTTTAGTGATTAAGTATCATCTTGAAAACAGATTAACTAAGTTAACTGCAGTGTTCCAAATCAGGAAAAGAAATGGTTACATTGGTACAAAACTACAAACTATTTCTATGTAACATGTATGATTATTTTAATGTAGTGATAAATACAAGTAGAAAGTAGAATTTTACACCTCTAGTTCTTTCTATAATATATATATAAAGATACTAATATAACAAGTACAATTGGAATATGCCCTAAAGGAAAACATCACTGAAGCCTCTTCAGACATACGTCTTGATTCATAAGCTAATTCAAACATTAAATATAACAAGTATGATCACTAAGTTTGACAAAAATAAAAGGAAGGAAATAAAAGATTTTGGTTTTCATATAACAACATATAAAATAATAGAGTTTAAATTTTAAAAAAACATATATAATTAACAGTTTTGAAATACACTCTGGCACGTGTCCATGAATGAAGGATTAATTTAAAAAAACATCAGTGATATTCTGTGCAAATATCAGGTGTGAGTTACTAAAAACCTTTCTGTTTGAAGAGGGGTAATTCTGCTGAAGGTGGGGTCTTTCACCCTTACATGTGGGTGCCCACAAGAAGGGGTATTCTACCCATTATATTTCACGAAAAATTGCATGTATTATTATATAAACTTAACATCATAGTTAAACTAAGTATTTTTAGTTATTCTTATTAAAATTGTAAATTTGCGTTTGTGTTTAAGCACACATAATACATATTCTTTTAGTCCGTTGACTTGCACTGTAAAAGCTGATCCCCTACATACATGTTTTGCCCCCTTGAAAATATTTTGGTGGGCTTCTGTGCTGCTACATGTGATCACTCTTTACTCATTCTTCTTTGGAAAACTTAATAAAATCTCATTAAACATTTGAGGAAGAGTTTATTAATAAAGTCGTCATACACCTTTCCACTTAGAAATAAGTCCATAATCTAAATGTGTACAAAGTTTAGAAAAACTTTTTATAAACTGCAGGAGTTAAATACATACTGTACACACGTTTAACACTTTGTGCAGAAAAAAAAAAACTTGATTTCTATCTCTTAAATTAACATAATTTAACCACATTTATATATATATATATATATATATATATATATACACACACACACATGATGTCAGTAAAACATGTAGGTTCAAGAAGTCTTGATACAAGATCATATAAACACTATAACACTTCAAAAGTGCTCGTGTTTTTATCATCTTATATACACATACGTGCATACAAAATTTCTTATTTCACATTGCAAATTAGATTTCTAAAGCTGCAGTACAATGTCTTGACAAATGAACGTGAGCATTGTTTTACTTTCTCACTACAACCATCTATATATATTGCAGATACTTACTCAAAAGCGAAAGATATGAGGGACACGGAAACAACCAGGACATCTAAGAGATTGAATGCACTCCGACAAAACGAGCCTTTGTGAAGAATAACACCATATGTAATAGCCTGAGAACATCAACACAAGTAATTAGAAACATAAACACAAGGAATCACAATTCATGAACCTCCATCAGGGGGGGGGGGGCAGGTCTGAAAATAATTACTCTGTTCTAGTTAAATATGACTGAATGTCTAACTTCAAAAACAATATCTCGCACATCTGGTGTGTTCGGAAAATTTGTTTATAATATATTGAAGGAAAAACAATAGAAGGCATTTCATTTTAATCTAAAGTATGTTGAAGGCATTTCATTTTAATCTAAAGTATGTTGAAGGCATTTCATTTGAATCTAAAGTATGTTGAAGGCATTTCATTTTAATCTAAAGTATGTTCAAGGCATTTCATTTTAATCTAAAGTATGTTGAATCAATGCTACCAGTTCCATCTGTATGCTGGGGTCTTGTGCAAAATGGACTAACTGTAGTAAATCAGGAATTTTAACATTCGTTTTTCATGATAAATTTTTTCTCACTTTTTTTCTTTATACATCAAAGTCTAAGTCCATGAAGCTTATATGTATATGTAATTCATAACCCTCAAATTGGTCCAACGGTGGGACAGCAGTAAGTCTTAGGGCTTACAATGCTAAAATCAGGGGTTAAATTCCCCTCGGTAGGCACAGCAGATAGCCCGGTGTGGCTTTGTTAAAACAAAACACACACACACTCCTCAAAGTGTTTAACTAAATTAAATCAAAAAAGTTTTATTTTAAGTAGAAAGAATGCAACAGATTTGATATGGTTTGCAAAATTTTGGTAATTCCTATCCTGTCAATATTGGTTAATTCCATTGTGCAGCAAAATTTGACAAGTCACTACACACTTTTGGTTGTTACCTTTTTAAGAAAAAGTTGATCTCGTGAGTAGCATTTCTGCATCTATAGTGCATTCAGAGAGATAAGAATATACTGTTGTCCTCATAATTATATAGACTTTTATTGAATGTCACATTATGTTTGTTAGTTTCATTATGAATTAAGTAATTCAACAAATTAAAAAATTACTATATAGAGTCACCAAAATTAGAAAAATATTTCTTAGCTTCAAAACTTTAAAAGTTTGTGTTACAATCAACGGTCTTATATCGCATGATTCAAATTAACTAAACATATAATGGAAACTTGAAAATAAAAAATTTTTGAATGCAGATGAAACAATTATTCACAGCTTAAAAATTATTGGCTCAAAGTTTTGTTAGTCACTCACTAAGGTGATAATGTAACTCATTAGTTTCAGCTTCACACTCTTGATACAAAATTCAACGAGATTTATACAATGTTTATACAAGATTTATACAATGTTTGTACAATGTTTATACCAGATTTATACAATGTTTATACAATGTTTGTACAATGTTTATACAAGAGTTATACAATGTTTGTACAATGTTTATACAATATTTGTACAATGTTTATACAATATTTGTACAAGATTTATACAATGTTTATACAAGATTTATACAATGTTTATACAATGTTTGTACAGTGTTTGTACAATGTTTATACAAGAGTTATACAATGTTTGTACAAGATTTATACAATGTTTGTACAATGTTTATACAATGTGTGTACAATGTTCGTACAATGTCGCAAAAAGTTCCTGTTTTTCTTTTCCAAAATGTTAAAATACTAATCTCATAAACTCCTATTTTTGGTTAGACATACAATAGTTACTTTTAATACAAACAAGTTTCAGCATTTTATCAAGATGTTTCTTGCAATAATGTACATGGAGATCATCAGAGATCAGTCTTCATTTAGAGAACGTTTAAGTTTTTTCATTTATGTCATCTATTGTCCGACAACAGGATGCAACCCCGTATTAACAGGCCTATAAAATTAGGTTTTTTTTACAAAATGTCTCAAATACCATTAACTTTCCGTTTTGAAATAACCCTGTTTCTAAATCATGATTTTGCAAATATAAACCAAAGATAGGTCATCACATTTTTAGATGTGTTATATACAGGTCAGAATATGAATATTTAATAATTAGTCATTGGAAGAAAGAAACTTATAAATAGAGAGCATAACTTACTTAAAAACTTTGTCACATAAGATTGAGCAAAAATCGTTTAAAGATACTAATGAACACGACACACACAATTAATCTTTTCGGTAATTTTCACTGCATTTTGTAACATCCAAATAAATACAACAAATATTCTGTTAATGCACGGTGGTTTTAACTTCACATCTCCTTGTACTTGCGTGGCTGAAATATTAACGTACTATATCGTCTTATTTAATTTTTTAACCAATAAAAATTCATGAATGCAACCCACTTTCTTCATATTATCATCTATTGTGGTTTTAGCTCATAAGGTTTGTAAAAAAAATTAATACTTTGGAAATGTGAACAATAATTTTAATTACAGTTTTCGATTGATGGAAATGTCAGAATGAAATGCAACGCAAATGCAAAATTAAGTAATACTGACAGACATAGAATAATCATTAACTGAAGATGTGAAAAATAAAGTTACTGATTTGACACAGTAGTTCTTGTTAACCGTACTTCATCACATGAAGTTACAAAGAAAAGTACTTACCTTTAACGTGATTTCAATTGTAAAGACAGTGGTGAAAAAGTAATCAAAGTATTTGAGAACCTAGAAAATAGAAAAATAACACAAACTTTATAAACTTAAACACAAGAAAAAGATGAATTAAAAATTGCAACTAAAATAGACGATTCAAATGTCATTAACAAATTACTGTTCCATTTTGAAGACGATCCACTGCTCGAGTATGATCTTTTGATTCCATGTGTCTGATATAAGTCATTAATTTACCAGCAAACTAAAAGTGCATAACACCTAATGCTGTAGACATTATTAAACTGTATGTCTCAACACTTTTGTAATATGAGTAACTAACGTTGATGAATTCTATAACTATACTACATATATGTAAGAATGAAAATATTTGGTATGTGAAATTCTACTACACTACAGATAAACATACACAGACAACCATATATACACACACACACACACAGACAACCATATACATACATACACAGACAACTGTATACATACATACACAGACAACCGTATACACACACACACAGACAACCGTATACATACACAGACAACCGTATACACACACACACACACACACAGACAACTGTATACACACACACAACCGTATACATACACAGACAACCGTAAACACACACACACACACAGACAACCATATACATACATACACAGACAACTGTATACACACACAACCGTATATATACATACACAGACAACCATATATATACACAGACAACCATATAAGTACATACACAGACAACAGTATACATACACACACAACAGTATACATACACAGACAACCATATACATACACAGACAACAGTATACATCCACAGACAACCATATAAATACATACAGACACAGACAACCGTATGCATACACAGACAACAGTATACATACACAGACAACCATATAAATACATACATACACAGACAACCATATAAATACAAACATACACAGACAACCATATAAATACATACATACACAGACAACCGTATACATACACAGACAACAGAATACATACACAGACAACCATATAAATACATACATACACAGACAACCGTATGCATACACAGACAACAGTATACATACACAGACAACCATATACATACACAGACAACCGTATACATACATACACAGACAACCATATAAATACATACATACACAGACAACCGTATACATACACAGACATCCGTATACATACAGTTTCTATTGAAATCTAGCTTTTGAAGAAATGTGCTTCTTCTACGTAAACTCTTTCATCCTTAAGGAAACTGTAGAAAACTATTAACACTGTGTTGGTACTTACAGTAATAACTGTTAACACAGTGTATTTAATTACTGTAACAACTGTTAAAATTGTGTACATACTTACTGTTACAACTGACTGTGTAGGTACTTAGTGTAACAACTGTTAAAACTTTGTAGATACTTAGTGTAACAACTGTTAAAACTGTGTAGGTACTTACTGTAACGACTGTTAATATTGTGTAGATACTTACTGCTCCAACTGTTAACACTTTGTAAGTACTTACAGTAATAGCTGTTAATACCATGTAGGTGCTTACTGTTACGAATGTTAACACTGTGCAGGTACTTACAGTAACAGTTGTTATTAATGTGTAAATACTTACAATAATGGTTATTGTGATTACTTAGGTACATGTATTTATGGTAACAGCAGTTGTACTTGCACGGCATATTGTGTTAATGCTCTGTTATAAATGGAGTTTCTTTTAATGTGTAGCATCTATACTGCTACAAGCTGAAACGTTCAAACTTCGAGGTACAGAATGACATGAAGAGATTTTATAGAGAGATGAAGCTAAGAAAAAAAAATGCAAGTGACATTTGCTGAGGACTACGCAAAGCAATAAATTCCAGGTTTCATTCGCTTAAACAACTTGTTAACATTTACAAAAGACAACAGATGCTACCAAGAAAACGAAAAAAAAAGAGGACACTTTAATTTCTGTGAAAATCTTGAAAATATATACTCACTTTATTTCTTTCTGAATTTGCATTAAGAGGATCTTCTGCTGCTAACATGGTGCTACTGACGAGAATACAAACAAGAACAAGGTTGCCGAAGATTGAGTGGTTTATAATACGATGGCAAAAGACACGGATTCTGTAGAATAATAACTTAAATCAATCACCTGTTGAAGTATAATCGATGCTTTTCATGTATGTTTTAACTTAAGAATATAATAAGCAATTAATTAATATTAACTTCCAATCAGATCAAGCTACCAACTTACAGTGAAACTAAAATTCAACCTGGTAATGACTATAGAGAATTAAATATATTCTTTTTACGTCCCTATTTACAAAGATTGTAATGCATATTTTCATAAGGTGGGTACTCTCACTGTTCATGATATTTTTAAACATAATCCCAATAATATTTCACAAAGTTTGGCCAGCTTAAGAGACTTAGGTTAGCCCTAAATACATATGTTCAACTGAAAATGCAAAATAATTTCTATACTAAAAGTAAAGAGTAACAAAATGAAATATATTAAGCATTCTAATCAACACTGTATATTAAAGTAATAATGAGGAAATAAAAGAGTGTAGTTTACCTATGGGACATGTACAAAAAACTAGCTGTTTGCTTCGATATTGTCATATAAATATTTAATGTTAATGTGTAAAAAAGAAATCTAAATTTCCAAAACTTTAGAGAATAGTTCCATCTTTATTCAAAGTTAATTTGGGGTCTATAAAATTTGATTAAATATTGGAACAAAAGCTTATAGAAAATAATTGTTCTATATATTCTATTATGAGACCTAGCTCGCACTAAAACAAACAAACAAAAGCAAAACATACACCTAAAATATTAAAAAAATTTGATAACAAAATATCTAACTTCAATATCAAACTGTATTTAAAAGCTATTCATAATTATATGTTTACCACTTACATATTTGTATGAGAGAAGACAAAGAAAGATGAGGCCTTAGGAATGGGGTGAATTTTTGTGGGGATAGTAAGCTCAGAAGCACGTCGAGGGCGAGCTCCAGTAGATATTACAACTGATTCTAAATCTTTTTCTTTCTCTTCAACTTCTTCTTCATCTTCTTCTTCCTCTTCATCTTCTTCTTCCTCATCATATTCTTCATCTTCATCATCATCATCTGAGAGTCCAAAACACAGTTTTAAAACAGTTGTATTTTGGTGGTTAAAAGTTACAGTGATTTTCATTGATTGATATAATTTTGCTGTAGTTACAGTTCTGTTTAATTTTTTTATAATGACTGAATACTGAATTGGTTTGGTTTGAATTTTGTGCAAAGCTACACGAGGGCTATCTGTGCTAGCCATTCCTAATTTAGCAGTGATAGACTAGACGGAAGGCAACAAGTCATCACCACCCACTGCCAACTCTTGGTCCACTCTTTTACCAATGAATAGTGGGATTGATCATTACATTATAACAACCCCACAGCTGAAAGAGTGCACATTTTTGGTGATGGGGATTCGAACCCACTATCCTCAGGTTGCAAGTTGAGCACCTTAACTATCAGGCCATGCTAGGCCCAGACTGAACTACCAGGCCATGCTATGCCCAGACTGAATATTGAAAACTTACCTCCTTCTACTGTCTTTTCCTCATCTTCCTCTGCAGAAGTATCATCCACTTTTATATGAACCTAAATCAAAAAGTAGAAAATACTGCATTAAGTTCTAAAAAAGATTATACAAACAAATTAATATCTGAACTTGGAGTTCTTAAGACAGTCTTTAGCCAAAAAGAAAAAAATAATTAGACTCCAATCACAACTTTAAGCTGTTGGGACGAAAAAAAAAAAACAGCTTATACAGTGATTTATGTAATGGCAGTGGAAAGAAATCTCATCAGGCAGCCTCAAAACGACATTAAACATATAATTGTATCCATTTACTAGCTGCAATAAAAGTAGTACCAATTATGGAAATGATGGGAAAAACTCGCCTAAGATAGCTCGGTCATGTGGAAAAAGAGGACTATGTTGGTAGAAGTGTAATAAATGTAACAGTGGAAGGAAAAAGGACAAGAAAAAGACTGAAGAAAAGGTGGATGGATATAGTGAGAGAAGACATGAGAAAATGCAGTGTGAATGTACTTTTGATAAAGAATAAGGTCAAGGACTAGAAAAAAGCGGGTCCTAAACAATTAGGACAAATGCTAAGGAGAAGACTAACTGTGATAAAAAGAAAAAAGTATAAATTTCAATATCTACATTATTTTTTTACAATCTTAAAACTAAGTAAACTGGTGTGACATAAATTCTAAATCTAGTAAAATGTTTTGTACTTTAGAATGCTTACTTTAAAAAAATTCAGGTCAATCAAATTCATACCAAAAGTACGCAAGGGTTAAAACCTGAATGAACATTAGATTTACAGACGATTCTTTTAGAATGAGAAATAAATATATAAAGATGATAAATACTGCAGAAACCAAACTTACAGGCTTGTGAAGCACGTCCATAGAACTGAAACAAAGAACGTGTAAGGCGATTCAAGTAAATGTGTTATATGTTTTACAATAAGTCACATTCATACTAAATTAAAGCAATATGAAAGCAAATATGCACTACTGGCACTTGTGTTTAAAATATTTTATATTATAATAAATGATTAAAAACAACGTTTTATATTTGCACAATAAAAACTTCATTGAAGCCGTACGGCTTCCACTTTGAAATATCGCTTTCAAGTACAGGTTTCGACATGATCTACGTCATCCGCAGGAGTAGCTTACAAGACCAGTAATACGATAAGGGGGAAAGTATAAAATAGTCTTGTAAGTTACTCCTGAGGATGACGTAGATCACGTCGAAACACGTACTTGTAAAGCGATATTTTAAAGTGGAAGCCGTACGGCTTC